AACTTCGTGAAAATCGGATGAGATTTGACCGAGTTATGGGGGTGGTCATTTTTTACCCATGTCCAGATACGAATCTTGGGGTAAGATTTGGACATGAATTTCGACTAAAAAATCGCTGTTCAGATTTGAATGCCAGATTAATCTAGAGGGAAAACCATAAAGAAAAAGCCAAACTTCGTGAAAATCGGATGAGATTTGGCCGAGATATGGGGGTGGTCATTTTTGACCCATGTCCAGATACGAATCTTGGGGTAGGATTTGGACATGAATTTCGACTAAAAAATCGCTGTTCAGATTTGAATGCCAGATTAATGTAGAGGGAAAACCATAAAGAAAAAGCCAAACTTCGTGAAAATCGGATGAGATTTGACCGAGTTATGGGGGTGGTCATTTTTGACCCATGTCCAGATACGAATCTTGGGGTAAGATTTGGACATGAATTTCGACTAAAAAATCGCTGTTCAGATTTGAATGCCAGATTAATCTAGAGGGAAAACCATAAAGAAAAAGCCAAACTTCGTGAAAATCGGATGAGATTTGACCGAGTTATGGGGGTGGTAATTTTCCACCTTTTATCTTCCAGCTTGTATCCTTTATCTTCCATCTTTAATTCTTTATCTATTATCTTTTATCTATTATCTTTCATCTTTTATCTTCCCTCTTCCATCTTCCCTCTTTCATCTACCATTTTCTATCTTCTATCTTCGATGGATTTTTTGTTGCATTCATACTCATAAAATTATAATTGTTGCTATGTATTTGCCTTCATTTAATTTTTGTCAAATTTTTGGATAAATATTCAAGTACATTTTCATGTTTTGCATTTTATGAAAAGCTCAACTGGGCAATGAAAGTGGGTGCCATTGTTTGCTGCAGTTGTTGGTGCTCGGGCAGCTTGTAGTAATTTGAATTATTTAGCTTGACGCACGAGACACTGGAATCAAGGCACATACACACACACATACGGACACGGACACACACACGGACACACACATACACATATTTTGTGGTCTCTATTGGGCGGCCTGTTTTAATTCATAGGCGAGGGGAACGCCAGGGAATGAGTTGGAACGTGTGGAAAATGGGTTTGTTGTTGTAAGCGTTACGTTCTGGCCGTTTTTCTTGGCTGCAACACAAAATGTCAGCAGAGATTAAGCGATTGAAATCTGTTCATGTACAAGATTTTATAAACCAAGCAAAGAGCAACACACACACATTACACACACACACGCACACACACACACATTACACACACACACGCACACACACACACATTACACACACACACGCACACACACACGCACACACACACACAATGATGTTTAGCTGGCAGCTGCACGTAATGAAAATATCAAAAATCTTTAACGAATTGTGCCGACGGCTTTATGGGGACATTGTGTGAGCTTTCATAGAGGGAGGGGCGCGGTCAGTTTTGGTGCATTTGAATGCGACACATTGTGTGTGCGTTTGTGTGTGTGTGTGTGTGTGTGTGTTGGTGTGTGTTGTTGGTCTGGTTCATTTAGGCCAGAGAAATCAAAAGTCAAAAGTTAGTCCGTAGCCCGCAGAGACTTGAGCTCTTGAAATAAACGACTAGTTATTACATGTGGGTCTGTGTATGGCTGGGTGGCTGTTGTGTGTGTTAGTATGTGTGTGTGTGTGGGTGGGTGGGTGTGGTGTGTGTGCCTGCTAGGTGTGCCATGCACATGCACATGATGACAATGGCAATGACAGTGGCTGGCCACACTGGTCACCCAAAACAAGTCAAATTGCACCAGACAGAAAGTAAACGACTAGAAGATACCCTACTTACAGCTCTAAATTGTATAAATGCGTGACTGCGTTTGTCAAAAATCGAAAGGCAACCAATTAAAATGTTCTTGAGCTGTAAATGCTAGCTATGAAAGTCTTTGCGATACGCTTGATTTCTCCATATCGATATTTATCGATTTTCGATTAAATGAGCACTTGATTTGTGAATACCAAAGAACAGGCCAAATGCCAACTCTGATGCTCTGCTCAAAGAGACAAGTCAACAAATCGATATTTATCGAACTGACGAAAGTTATCGATCAGGATACGATCAGCAATCGATCAGCAACCTACGTTAGAGTATCCAAAAGCAAATATGCCTTCTTCTGTCAGACGCACATATGCTCAAGCTCAACATGCCCATTTCCATGAATCTGCCATGAGTACAGGGTACACGCTGGGTCGTACAGACTTAATAGCCAAAAAATGCAATCAGCAACTATGTGACCAGAGTCGACTGACCAACTGGAACCAGCTACAGTCACACTCGCTGCGGACAGCCCTGTGACATGCACACACGCATGCAGCATCATCATCAAGCCTCTTCCTGTATACCCTTTCCCCATGCGTAGGCACCGCACCCTTTGCTCGATTTTCTTGACTTGTCTTGTCTTTCTTGCTGTTGCTGTTGTTTCGTTCTGGAAAATGCAATTAGGCTAACGATGCAACACAATTTTGTATTTAACTACAACGAGTGTGCGAGCGAGATGGCTGCAATACCCTCTTGCCCGCTGCAGGCATGCAGCTTGGGCATATTAGTTGCGAGGTGCGCCTCAAGTTTTTGCCAAGCTCTCAGATCCTTCATGGCCAGTTGGCAAACAGAAGTGCAAGAGTCAACGTCCTCCATGGTCAGTTTTCTATTAATTCTGTGTGTTCCCAGAGCTGAAAATCTGATATTTTTCTCATTTGATTGATTTTTTTCTCATTTGCAAGAGCTTTATAAGCATTTCTTGACTTCCATGGTCATATTATTTACGCAACAGTTGTCCATTCATTTTGCCTGTCCCCCATGTTCACTTTATGGTCTCTCGTGGTATCGGCTTTGATTGACTGATTGATGGGCAAGTAAATATCCTCCATGTTCAGTATGCTAGCTAGCACATTCTCCATTCTACGTCTTTTAAGTTTGCGATACATATCTCTGTTAGTGATTGCTCACATATATATTTTATGTGCATTAAAGTTATTTGATTGACTGATTGATGGGCAACTTTATGAGCTCCATATTCGCTTGGCTAGAGAAAGCAAATAGGCCATTTGAAGTCTTCTCACCTTTTACATGTCTGTTAATAATATTTCATTCAAATATTATATTTCCATTAAAATGATCTGATTGACTGATTGATGAGCCACATTATGTTCTCCATGTTCGTTTGGCTAAAGAGCACATGCTCTGTTCAAACTTTTTGGAACATGCATGTGTTAATAGTATTTTATTAATATATATTGATGTATTAAAATAATCTTGATTGATGATTGACTGATTGATGGGTTACACTATGTCTTCCATGTTAACTTGGCTAGAGAAAAAATGGTCCATACAAAGTCTTCTTTCTTTTTTGGAACATATGTTAATGCTAATTAATAAGTTCTATATTTAGTAAGATGTCTTGATTGACTGATTGACTGATTGATGGGCAACGCACAGCCTAAACCGTAAGCCCTAAAAAGTCGAATCTTTTACAAAAGTGCTGGGTTTTGTAAAATTAAGTTATTAAATGTATTATGAATTTTTAAAACTTTCCTCGCACAAGACACAAGCACAAGTATTTTCTATAATGCTTTAAACTTGAACTTATGGACATATCATGTGCCCAACATTATGTGTGTCTTTCTGTGAGTGTGCGTGCCGGAAATGTCGAACAAATGATGCACACTCTGCCTATTGAATTAACTCGAGCTGTCAAGACATCGAGCCGGCCGGTTCAGCAAGTTTTGTGTCCAGGCATTATAATTATGCTGTGCGTGTGTTGTCTGTGCTCTGCGATGACTGAGTTAATTCCCAACAAATTATGAATTATTATTGCAACTCAATCTAATTAAACAACAAATACCTCAAAATTTAACAACGTTTGCAGCTCCTGTCTTTGACTAACAGCTTACTCATATATCATAATTAAAATTTGCCAGCCAAAAGCAACTCTCTGCATGTGGTCTGAAAAAAAGTCAACATATTATAATTAATCATGTGTAGTTACATCAAACTGATTCGCAACAATTTCTCTACCATTTCGCCTTCTGATGGTAGACAGAAAATATGTGAATGATTCTTGAAATCAGTTTCAATCTCTTGAATTATATATCTATATATAACTGATTGACTGATTGACTATCTTAGTGACAAATGTTTACTGTGCACGTGATTTGTCGAAATTCGCCCTGTAAGGGTGGAAAATTCGCGAGTTTGCCAGAAAATATGTGAATGCGAATCTCAATCTCATGAACTTTCTATCTCTATATGGAAAACTGATTGACAGATTGACTGACTGATTGAATGACTACCTCACCGACTCAAGGTACGCTTAGTCGTGTTTTCTCGCAATTCCACCCGCAAGTGTGAAAACTAAATTTGGGAAATGTTTCAAAATTCACATCTTCTTGGCTTAAAGATGTGGGCGAAACGTCAAGATTCTTCAAATTTATGTTCAGAGCTCTAGAGAAAAACTTAAGAAATGCATGTTTAAGCAATTTTTTTACATTCACCCGCAACAGTGGAAAATTGGCGGAAACTGGCAGCATGAAACGTTTAACTGCCTGTTAACTTTTTCTATATAATTATTAATAATAAAAAATAAATAAATAATAAAATGGACTAGAAATGACTAAAGAGTCGACTTAAGTGAGAAGAATGTGTAAACATTTTGTTATTTTCATACAACTTCTTCTGTACAGGGTATTACTAAGTCGATACAGCTCGACCTCAATACCCTTACCTGTAGAATAGAAGAATACCCTTAGAAGAAGAATATTAGACCTACTTTTCCTACCTTTGACTAGCTTGTGCCAAAGTTGGGCACGTGCTTAACTACCTTTAAGTTAAGCCTCGCCTAGGGTATTAAAATATACTCAAGACGTCACAGATATATACTCGATATCCATAAGTTGGCCATGTGAATAGAATTTGATGCTGTAAAGTCAGAGCAGGCCTTGAGATCGACATAAATGTGAATGAGCTCAGGCGAAAGGCAAACAGATTCATTCCAGTTGGAGCTCCACTGGAGCCAACAGCTCTAGTTTTCTAAATTGTTGTATAAATTTCAAAATTTGTTCTGCTTTTTCTCTTTGTTTATTTCTGTTGAGAGAAACAAATAAAATCAAAAAGTCCAAAAATTCAATTTGTTTCAAAGTTTCAATGTTTCTATTCAATCAATGTGAAAATTTCAAAAAGTGTTGCAAAATTACGTTCAGAAGCGGTTTGTATGTTCGTGTGAATGGGTGTGAACACAATGATGGTGAGTACCCAAAAAGGAATTCACATCAACCCATTGAGTATTCATCCAAACCCTTTTCTTCCCCCCATTCTCCAGTTGTCACAGATGCTCTTTGTACACGGCGCAAAATTTTAAATGCTCAAACAGAAGTCCAGATCAAAAGTTTTACGCGTTTCTATTTATTTCTAACAACCAAATAATCGTATTTCGTAACCAAGAAGGGTGAGTGAGAACCAAAATGCCCGTCTCGGATACACTCTATATATATATTCGATCTCCTGCAGGATTTGATGTGATTGTTTATTTCACAATTCTTAACTTTCAATGTATATTCGCCCAGAGAATCGGAAACTCTTGGAATAGATTGCCCAGTCAAGGGGTAAGTCCATCCAGACAGATCTCTCGAGCGATCCCTCCGATCCGTCTGGTAATACTCCCCATTCTGAGCACCTGCTCATCTCGGGGAGATGAGGACTCGTTGTCCTTTACAATTTGCAAGACTCTCAATGTTTGTCACAAGGTATTATACGAGCTATATCATCATGATATTATCGCTATAATACGACCTACGACCTATTGCAGTTATGTTCTGATCATTCAATTCAACAACCAAAAAATAAATCAGAAATTCAAAATTGTAATTCGAAAAGCAATTCTCTAAGCTCGACTTTGAGCTTCATCTGAACGGTAAGCCTTGGATCTTGCCTCTTCCCTTTTTCCTAACCAATTTTCCGCTTTTTCTTCAGGAAAAAATCGTAACAAGAAATTAATAAAAAATACATGAATCATATCGTCACGGAAGAAGGCGAGGCCAAGCAACTCTCGATGCGGAAGATTCTACTCGAAATTTAATTTTAACAGCTGGCCTAACTCCTAACTACAAAAATAATAGTCGTAATGTCAACCAAAAACTGAATCAAAATTTAATTAAGAATTGCGCCTACAATCATAAAGAATAATAAAAATAAATATGCAAGTTAAGACAATTATTCTCTGAATGCTGGGAGGGGTTAATTGGATGGGAAGGAACCCAGATCTATTTAGTCAAGCCCATGTGAACTGAACCAGCAACATGGTTCAAACTAAGACCATAGAGAGATATATAGTGGGGTATACCAATGGAGTCAATTGTGAAAATCGTTTATAGGTTTTTGTTTTCTTTTAACTGAACCAGCGTTATGGTTCAAACTGAGTCTAAACAGAATTGTCCTCTTGACATGCCACACCTCCTAGTGTGTGGAATGTTTCAGATGGGAACTGTTTTGTAACATCAATAGCATCTTTATCTAACAGAGCACACATATATCATAAAGGCTAGCCCTTGGCTGGACTAGTTTAAGCTCATCTTAACGAGAAAAATGACGTATATCTTAACGAAGAGGATGAAAGGGCAACTCGGACTCCATAAAGTATATTTATTTCTGAAATGAAGCGAGTTCATCCAGTCAAAATCTTTTTTGCGAACTTGTCGATCTTCAGAATTGAAGAACTTGGAGCTAAAAATTGACTTTATAAATGTTCATACCTAAAACAGAACACTTTCTGATATCGATATCTCTGCCCATTTCTGTAATATCGATAAATGTCGATTTTGAGAGCTATCGACAAAAAAAAAACGGGTATGTAGGTTATGTTGTAGCATATACAAATTGCGAATATTTCGAATCAGCAACAACGGAGTTAATGAAGATCGCATTTCCCATAGATAGTTTGAGGCATGTTGGGAAGAAAGCTTGTAACTGTGTGCAGGGTATCTGCTAGTCGCGCTCCATATTTGTTATTTGGTGTTTATGCATTTGGGAACACGTTGAATTCAATGGGAAAAAAATAAGTTATGTTAATATTACGCATACGCCGCATAGGCGGGCGACTTCCGCTGATGGCAGCCGCGTTGGCGGTTTCAATATTATACGATAAATCCAATTAACAGGGTTTTATGCCACAAACAACACACACAGGCGCACGCACACGGCAGAGGTGTTAATCGACGTCATTTTGATGTAAAACGGGCGTTGAGAATGATATTTTGTATATTTTATGACCGCATATGCGATGCGTAATTAACAGCAACAACAACAACAATTGTCAGGCAGGTTAATGAGGCATCATTGATTATGCATATAAGTTGCGGTTGGGTGTGCGTGTGTGTGTGTGTGTGTGTGTGTGTGTGTGTGTAGAGTTTCATTCGCTTTTCACACATCAAATTAAATTGTTACATATGCTAATGAAATCAACCAAAATTATGAGCAATTATGAATAGCTTAATGGGATTTACTAAAGCCACACACACACTAAAACTATGTGCGTGTGTCCTTAAAGCCAAGACTTTTGCTTAAAGTCACAAGTCGTTGTTTCTTAGTCGGCGGTGATCGACTTTGTGATACCCTAAACACAGCGCTCAGCTGGCGCTGCAAATATTCGAGCTGCCCATAAAGAAATGCACACGAAGTTCTGCTCTCCCCTGCTTCACAATAATGGAAAAGGTGTTCGTGTTGAACTTGTGCAATTCTCATAAAAATTGCAAGTCTTAAATATGGCATAGAAAAGTGTGCGCATATCGAAGCGCAATGTTGTATCTCTTCAAATGCTTGTCCTTCAATTCTAGAGCGAAAGGGTTGTGGCATCCGAAAAAATAAATACTCTTTATGTGTATATGCTAAAATATAACCTAAATAAGAAGTTTGGTTTAGCCAGCTCTCAGAATCTTCGAGTTATGCTTGAAAAACCATTCCTTAAAATCGATATTTATCGATATTACAAAAACGGGGAGAGATATCTATAATAAGCACGTTCTGTTTATGGTAAATGGTTTATGGTAATATAAATTTCAAATTTTTAGCTCGAAGTTCTTCAGACTTCATGAAGGACAAGTTTTCTCCAAATCGATATTTATCGAAATTACAAAAAGGGGAGAGATATCTATAATAAGCACGTTCTGTTTATGGTATAGACTAATATATAAATTTCAAATTTTGAGCTCCAAGTTCTTTAGTTTTCAAGTTGGATAAGTTCCCTGAAAATCAATATTTATCGATATTTATCGATATTACAAAACGGGGAGAGACATCTATTAAAAGCACATTCTGTTGATCGTATAGACAAATATAAATTCCAAAATTTAAGCTTCAAGTTCTTCAGTGTTCAAAATCGACAAGTTCTCTCAAAATCGATATTTATCGATATTACAAAATCCGGGAAAAGATATCGATTAGAAATAATGAATTCCGGCTTTGATAGTTGCCCAGTTCGTTGGGTTGCCAGCTCTTCGTCCCGATCAAGAGGCATTCATAGGCGATGCTGCCCCGTGCCTGTTACATATGCTTGCACAGAAACAAGCTACCCGTTTTGGCTTGTGCTTTTTTAATGGGCTTAGCGTATAAAATGTCAGCTGCCCCTGGCAAGGCAAGGCTGGCCAAGCATGGCTGCCGCAGTCAAAAAACGCAGCCAGGTGTAAATTACAAACTTGTAAGATTTTTGCCTGGCATTTCCGGCCTTCGCCTCCCGCTCCCTCCACTCCCTCCACTCTTTTCGCCAGGTTTGTTGTCTCCCGCCTCTGGCTGCGTACAGCTTCTGGCAATGGGCCTACGTTTAGCTTTTGCTTTGCTTCTGGTTGTGTTTCCTCTTGCTTAACTTCACGTAATGCCAACAATTACGCAGCTGAATATTTTATGAGCCAAGCAGATTAATATGAATATTTTATGATCATGTTAGATTCCGTATTTCTTTGTTGGACTGCGCCTCTCGACGCCTGGCTGTGTCTCGCCTCGGCGGCTGTGCCAACAAATTTGTGCCTCTGCCACGCCCCCGCCGCCGCCCGCCCCTTGGCCATGCCAGCCTTTGCTTAGCCAAGCCAAACTCAAGGCGAAAGCATGTCCAAAAATATGCTTTATATGCCTTTGCGTTTGAGTGTTTGTTTTTTTTTTCATTTTTTTTATTCGTGCCCTAATAAAAGGCGCCTAAACGTCGGGTATATACGCTTGGGCGTGAAGTTTGTCAGCGATTGGAAGAGAATTTGGCTAAAATAATGAAGGTGAGAGTCGAAATAAAAACAACAAACATTTGCGAATCATATTAAACTTAAGCAAATCAATGGGGTTTGAACCGGCGACCTTTCGCTTGCTGGTTCGATGCAGGCTAACAACGTTAGCTGCGTTATTCGTGCTGTCCGGCAAAATGATTTGCTGTGTATCTGGACCTATCTTAAGCTCAGTTTGATTAACTTTAAGACTAATTAACTTCTCTTAAACCTAATTAACTTCTCTTAAACCTTCTTTCTGCTCTTAGCCGAATTCCTTGGCAGCTTTAAACACAACAAAACTTTTAGGTGACTTCCTTAGCTAATTCCTAACTCTCTCAAGGGAATCTTTAAAACAAAACTCTTTAAAACTGCATCCACAAAAAACCTATTCAGTAATTCGCGCTCTGCAGCTTGTCTCAGACTAAAGTCTAAAGTTGAATTGACTTAGAGTATTACAAATTCGTTGCTTGCAATTTAAATGAAACGCATTGCCGTTTCGTTGCCCACAGCTTTTTTTGCACCTTTTGGTGAAGTCAAAAATGCTTTTTGCTGCTGGCCAAAAAAAAAAAAACCCACACACACACACACACCAAAAGTAGGAAGGCCAAAAACGTAGTGACTTGTCTGAGGGGCTGGTTGGAAGGAGAGAAAATGTGGTGAGAACGGAATTTATGACCACGAGCCTTCAAAGGGCCAAGCAGCCTAAATGTTTTGCGCCAGGCAGCGTCTGTCCCAGACATGCCAAATAAAAACTGGGGTCGGTAGGGACGGGTAAGGGCACCAGGGAGGTAGCGCAGGGGTACGTGGGTTGCCTCAGTCAAAGTCAGCAAATAAAAAAAAGCCAAAGTGAAACAAAAATATTTTCATTTGTTGCGTTGAAAATTTCATGCGCTCCGAGCACGGCAATTATAGTGCGCCACCCCCTTTCCAACTGGAGCACCCTCTGGTAGCACCCTCTGGTGGCCGCTAAGCAAACTATGTGAAATAGTGGTAATATGCTCATCATCTCAGCTCGTGCCAAATAAATTTGGCCAATAAATGCGCCAGCCACGCCCACGTGACGAGGGTGTGAGTTAGTATGGTAGGGCGGTACGGCTGTTGGTACCCTCTGATTTATGCAGTGCCATAAAACAGGCGAGTCGCCTTAAAGCTTCCAACAAACAAACTCAAAAAAGTGGCAAAAATTAAAAGAAAACAAAAAAAACAAAGATAGATGCCTGAGCAAAAAGAAATATGCCCAAAAGGCACCAACCAGGAGCTGGCCCTACCGGAGCCAGAAATGGCCGGCGACTGCGAGTCTGAGCTCTGCCTGCTGCGTTCTGGGCTCTTCAGGCTCTGAATCCTGAGCCTCGGCCTAGGCTGGCTTAGCGTGTGTGGCGCCCCAAGTGGCAGCAGCTCAACGTGTTGCCCAACGTGCGCGCCTGTCAAGGCGACGCAGCGAAGCGCATCGAGTTGGCAGTTCCGCCCGGCACTGACAGTGATGCAAAGCGGCGTGGAGTTAGTTGCGGAAAAAAGAAAACAAACTAAAAAATGCTTGCACTTTCGCTAAGGCGTCTAAGAAGCTTTAAGGCGAGTTTGGAGTGCGGTTATGTAAAGCACTGTAAGTGTTAAAGTGACGCTGTTAAAGGCAGGCTTAACATTGCTTAACAGCTGTTAAAGCTATAGCTGTTCTGCTGCAGGGTTGCGTGCCTCTAGAGTGCTGTCTGAGCTGCTGTGAAGAGCACTAAATGAACTGGTTCTAATTAATAGAGTGAGCATTTACTGGGTACCAGGTACTACTGTTAATCCTGGCAGCAAGGGAACCTGAGGCATCATTTCTCGTGAGGTTGACTGCTAGAAGTGACGGAAGGAAGC